ATATGATTCTGTATAGTAATGTTAATGTTATTAATGTAATGTTGTTAATGTTAGTAATGTTATTAAGAATAATAACATAACAGCAATACCATAGCTAATATTTCTGACAATAATGTCTTATGTATATTAATAATAATTTGTTAATACCGTAATGCATTTTAAAAAAATTAATAAAATAATAACAACAACAAGAGCAGTCAGAAGAAAGCATATCTCCACTCACCGCAGGTCCCTTCCTATAAAATATATCCCCAAAAATATGTTGCTACTTTCCAAGAACCATCGACTTAAATTTTAATTAAATAATTAGTTTTGAACTGAGCAGTGGTGTATCTAGGTGGGGGCGCACACCCCTCCAAAAATTACTTGTGCCCCCCAAAATCATGGTAAAGTAGTTAAAAATCACCTAAAATCACCTTATTTTGTTGCGTAAAACTAAAATTCATGCCAATATTTTTCCATGATTTATAATAATTGGAGTAATGCAAATGCATATTTTCTAAAAAAAGTCATTTTTAGTGAAATTTTGCCGGGAATGGGGCTTTAACATATGCATCACAATCAACACAACTCTAACCACAGCCTGACCTTTCAACCCCAAACAACATATTTAATCATCATTATTATTATTCCTTTTTTGCACAATTACTTTATTAAAGTAAAAAATAATGCAAAAGAAGCGAGGACATACTTACAGCTAGTCAGCTGGTGGTGTATTTAACTGTACTATTCCACAATACACTACAACTATACACTACTGTTAATGCATTTTTGATGATGTGGCTGCAAGTACCACCCACCAATCAGAGAGCTGGATTGAGGAAACACCCATTACTTACCTCCCAATATTAACCAATCAATGACTAGGGATATGATGATGCAATATTTACTGTACTATAGAATAATGATGGTACCATATTAGATTTTTTTTTAAATTTTGTTTTGTTTTGAATGACTATAATATGACTTGCAATTTACTCTGATTAATAATATACTTTACTTCCAAATTTAGAATTTGGATCACGGTACATTACTGTACTGATTACTGGTTCTAAATGTTAATGACATAGCAAAAATCCAATGACTAAAACAGTTAAAATATACCAACGAAGGCAATGCTACCTGATCAATAAATTAGTCAAAAAGGGAATTTATTATTAAAGTATCCTACAAATATCATTGTTAACTAAATCTGTAAATGAAGAGCCTCTCTTTGATCTGTGTAACAACACATGCCACATCATAATTTTCCACATGATTCACTATACACTTAAAATGGCCCCTATTACATAGCTGATCTAGTTTTCACCACTGCACAGTCTACTAGGCTCATCAAATCATTTTCTTGCTATGTATGTTGCACACAAAAAAAGAAGCCAATCAAATAATGTTTGCAAAATATTTAATCATTTTAAAATATTGAAAACCAAATAATAAGAAATAATGCATTGAATGAAGTCTTTCAAAGCCAGGTTCCGGAGGAAAAAAATGTTGATATGTTGTAAAACTGGTTTTTTTTCTAAGACACGAAAAGCATTTTTAATGTAAGCACCGTATTTACACCTTTTCCCCCTACTTTAAATAGTCAAAAATCTGAAACTCATTATCCGTTTTGTCAAACACCCTGTTTGTGTCCTAGAAAAAACAGTTGTCCAACATATCAACAATATTTTTTTCTCCAGACCCTGGCTTTAAGCCACTTATATAAGTTCTATAATTTTTAGTAATTCTAACCTTCAGCAGAACAAAAGCAAAGAAAATCCCTTCATTGTTGCATGTATTTTTGTAACAGTTTAACTAGAGTGGTTTAAAATTTCATTAAAAATTACAATTTTAAATAAACTATATTACTTTACAAAATGCAATTTGATTAGGTTATGTATTTCAATCAATGAAACATTATTTTTCCTTAAAAAATTGATATTTACACAACGTTCCGAGTTTTCCAAACAGCTCAAAGTCATTGTCAAAGTCAAGCAAAACTGTTCTATTGAATTATCCTACTTCAGTTGAATTTTGTTAATACAGCTTTTCAAGGTCAAAAGGTCATGCAATGCAATGGTGCAGCACATTGATTTGTTGTTTTTGTTTTCTCCTGATAGGCAACGTTCTTTGAATGAAACGAGTATGAATAACTCATATGAAAATAACTCATTATTGAAAGCATTCTTTGGTTTAATTTACTTGTACTTTGTGTATGATTAAATACTAAAAATATAGTTAAAACAAATATGTGTGACCGTTTTGTTTATTTAAACTATTCATAAGCTGGTTATGTATTTTTGACTACAAATCATGCACCTGAATATATTTTGAAATTTCTTATCAGATTTTAATTAAATACAGACATTCTGAATAAACATAGGCATCAATATACTGTACACTAAAAATCATTGGTTTCAATGATAGTCTGGATTTTTTCTTGTGGATGAATTTTTTTTAAATGGTAAATCCTTAAATTGATATACAATAGTAGTACAAATATATGATTCTGTATAGTAATGTTGATAAACATATACATGTATATTATTTTATCATTTTACCTATTTTAGCTTATGGACCACACTTTGGTTCTCATTACTATTACTGAACATGTTACCCATTAAATCATAATTTAAACAACAAATATAATAATTATATATTTAAAATTAAGAATAATAACATAACAGCAATACCATAGCTAATATTTCTGACAATAATGTCTTATGTATATTAATAATAATTTGTTAATACTGTAATGCATTTTTTTAAAAATTAATAAAATAATAACAACAAGGGCACTCAGAAGAAAGCATATCTCCACCCACCGCAGGTCCTTTCCTATAAAATATATCCCAAAAAATATGTTACTACTTTCCAAGAACCATCGACCTAAATAATTAGTTTTTAACTTAGCAGTGGCGTATCTAGGTGGGGGCGCACACCCCTCCAAAAATTACTTGTGCCCCCCAAAATCATGGTAAAGTAGTTAAAAATCACCTAAAATCACCTTATTTTGCGAGTAAGCAACCCTCACCTAATCATCGAACACCCCCACTTCAGCTTCGCGCCCCCCCCCCATGAGCACCCCCACTTTAAGACTTCTAGATACGCCACTGTATCTCAGCTGGGACGTTTTGCTTTGAATGGTCCATATCCACAATGAAATTTACTCATTTATTTTTTCGAATGGCTTTTATTGTATCAGTTGTACACCTGCCAATTCCTTACATCTTCTGGCTTAACACACTGAACATTTTACTCTTACAGCTGACAAAAACAAAAAATACATGCCATGTATTGTTGTTGAAATAGAAATATTATGCAAATAGAATTATACTGTAGGGATTTGGTTTTTAGCATCACATGTTTAAATGTAAAGATGCATTACAAATATTCCCAACCAAAGACGAACTATTCTGGAAAGCGAAATTTTAAACCATCCATCGATTCTAGAGATACAGTATTTAGGTCTGGGACCAAATGGCCCTCAAATGCACACTCAAATTTGGATTTCCACCAACACTTCATAATTTCTTCCTTGTAACTTGGTTAAACTTTCACGAAAGTTTAATTCAGATCATTTAATTGTTTTTTAACTATCTGGTCTTGGACTTTTTCCTTTGAATGGTCCTCAAATCCATTCCCTACTCAAGATGGTCACCAAAATTTAAACATTTCTTCATCGAAACATGACAAAACTATTTTGAGCCTGTCTCTTATACACATCTAGATGTGTATAAGAGACAGCGTTTTGCTTTGAATGGTCCATATCCACAATGAAATTTACTCATTTATTTTTTCGAATGGCTTTTATTGTATCAGTTGTACACCTGCCAATTCCTTACATCTTCTGGCTTAACACACTGAACATTTTACTCTTACAGCTGACAAAAACAAAAAATACATGCCATGTATTGTTGTTGAAATAGAAATATTATGCAAATAGAATTATACTGTAGGGATTTGGTTTTTAGCATCACATGTTTAAATGTAAAGATGCATTACAAATATTCCCAACCAAAGACGAACTATTCTGGAAAGCGAAATTTTAAACCATCCATCGATTCTAGAGATACAGTATTTAGGTCTGGGACCAAATGGCCCTCAAATGCACACTCAAATTTGGATTTCCACCAACACTTCATAATTTCTTCCTTGTAACTTGGTTAAACTTTCACGAAAGTTTAATTCAGATCATTTAATTGTTTTTTAACTATCTGGTCTTGGACTTTTTCCTTTGAATGGTCCTCAAATCCATTCCCTACTCAAGATGGTCACCAAAATTTAAACATTTCTTCATCGAAACATGACAAACTATTTTGAGCAGTGTCATTCAGTTCCATTTCAACATTACTTTGGAGACATTTAGGTCTGGGACCTAATGACCCTTAAATGCACAGCCAAATTTGTATCGTCACCAACACTTACTAATTTCTTCCTTGGTTACTTTAACAAAAGTTTCATTCAGATCAGTTGATTATTTCAGGACGAGTTGGTTTCCGGCTTTATAGACTGCATTAATAATGACTTGAGTTGACTGTTTGGTTTAGTTTATTTATGGGCCAAGTTGGTGACAGACCGAGTCAGTGAAGGGCTGTGTTTGCGAATGGCCGAGTTATGTCAAAAACATTCATCGACATGATCTACTACGTAGGCAAGACTTTAATTGATATACGACAAAACTGACCACAGATAAATGTCTGGTCATCAGCTTCATTTCACCATTCACCAAATCCCTGGCCACGCTAGTCCAGGTACACAATAATACAGAGTTAGGCTCCATAATAAAATAATGAATAAATTAATGGTGACCGTCACGGTCAGACCGTGCGTGGGCACCAACAAAACTAGGGCCTAGACAGCGTAACCAGCGTAACAACACCACGCTGCACACAAACAACATCCGTCTCTTCGTCTCACTCTACACACAACACAGGCAAGCATAAGAAAAAATGCAAGATGATTTTCAAATAAAGGGCACCCTATATAATAAATCTGTCCGTATAAAAATATTTTACCTTGCAAAAACCTCGTCTTCTAGCTCCGGTAGCTTCTGCACAATATGCTGCTGTGCTCAGCCTGTTGTGATTGATGCATGAGAGATGGTGGAGAGAAAGGCGGCGGCAGCATGTGAGCATGTTCATAAAAGGCGCCCTCAATGCTTCACTTACCACATTTAATAGCTCTATGATCCATACACATTGCATGCCTGACTGACTGCTGTTTCACGTGCGGCATAGCCCTGGTGGTGTTATTTAATGGTGGTAATTATGACTATTAGTTATTATCCTTACTTTGTGCAATCTTGAAATACTTCTCGATCCAATTGCTTGATTTTAGCCTACTGTAGAGGAGTACTAGGGCCTTAGCTAGACTGCACGCTCTCCCTCTAGCCTAGGCCGCCCTCCCTCCAGTGGGCCTTTCTTGCTCTAGGCCTATAGCTAGGCTAGCCTAGGGCCTTGACTAGTAGTAGTACTACTAGTAGTACTTATATATATAGTATGAGAAGCTAGAGCTACAGAAACTAGCGTACGTTTAGGAATGCATACCTAGACCAGTGGAGTAAACTAAAAAAAAAAGGAAATAGGCGGCAATGTATTTAACATCCAGGAAATATATGGGTGTTTTGTTTGTCTTATTATTAAAATATCGCTGTGACTAGGGATACGGTACTGTATGTTATCTTCCGTTTGCCATCGTACAAAAGAAAAGGCTGAGGGAAGCAAAACTGAAGTTCCTCATTTATTTAATACTTATAAATATGTTGAATTGCATACCCACATCCATAAATCATGCTTGGTCCAATAATTTTAAGGCTATCCAACCTCTCCAGGCCTATAGACCAAGCTTCAGCTAGATGCCCAGATTGATTAATAATAATACTATGATACTAGGTCTCTGAAAATTATTTTTTTTTTTTTTTGTGCAGAAATGTCAAATATTAAAAGGCAACCAACGAAGGGTTACCCTGGTGATCGAATCTTATTGAGACGAATAGAGGAAGTATGTACAGTACACAATCTTTTATTAGTTCAACTTTAAGTTTTTATGAGAATTTGTAGCAAGAGGATGATTCAGTTATAGATAAAATACAATCTATCAAATCAAAACCACCATAACACCTGCTAAAATATTAAAGGAAGATGCAGGCACAGCTCATTAGCTATAGCTCCATATCACAGCTCACCGTGCTACAGCATCATCCCCGCAGCACTATGCTACAGCTTACATAAACATAGCTAACCATGTCACAGCTCTCTATAGTATGTGCTGTCGCTTACCATGCCTCATCATCATTGCCACAACGCTAGATGCAAATCAGTTTATAACACCACAGCACTTTGGTACAGCTCCATATTACAGCTCACAATTGCCATAGCACCATGCCACAGCTTACAATACCACAGCGCACCATGCCACAGATCACTATGTACCATGGCTTACCATGCCACAGCATTATTTGCCACAACACTATGCAACAGCTTACAGTAACGCAGTACCATGCTACAGGTTCATATCAAAGCTTACCATGTCACAGCACCATTGCCACAGCACTATGCTACAGTTCACAATACCACCGGTCACCATGTCACAGCTCACTATGTGCCATTGCTTGCCATGCCTCACTGTCATTGCCATAGCACTATGCAACAGCTTACAATACCACAGCAGAGTGTACAGCTCTATATCACAGCTTACAGTTGTCATAGCACCATGTCACAGCTTACAATAGCAGAGTGCACCATGCCACAGATCACTCTGTGCCATGGCTTACCATGCCACAGCATTATTGCTGCAACACTATGCAACAGCTTACAGTATACCAAAGCACCATGTTACAGCTCACTATGTCATAGTTCTCTTTGTCATGGCTTGCCATGTCATAGCACCATGTCACAGCACCATGTCATAGCTTACAATGTCTCATCTTCATGAAAGAAATAAATCACATGAAATTTAAATTATCAATTAAAATGTACAGTATTTTCCTTATTTAACATTTTGGAGTGTATAAATTAACCTTTAATATATTGAAGTTTATAAACAAAGATTGCCTGATGTATTTTTGAATATATGAATTGCATTGAAATTTTATATAAACTATATGTATAATACAGCCACAAAAATTCATCATTATAATTAGTAATATTTGAACTTTGAATTTCTTTTATATATTTCTATTCTAGTACCTGTCTGACAATGGAGGGCAGCAATCCGTAGCCCCTTTAGCCATAGCAGATTGTTTGCAACAAAAATACAGGCAAGTTTGCAGGAATTCCCTACTGTAACTTTTAAGCTACAATATGTAAACTTTTAAAGCAGTGCTACAGAAACCTAAAGGGGACATGTAATAACACCACTTTATATTGTGAACCCACTTTGCAACCCTCATTCTTTACTATTGATCTCGGAAAGTTTGTAAACATTTTACCAATAAAGTTGTATTAATCATACTATATATCTTTTTAAACATAAATTTTAACCTTGCCCCTCCTCTTTAAACAGAGTATCCATTATGTTATATTGTGGTATAATTACAATTTTAAATTACAAGTATACGGTACTACAATTTTGTATTAAAATCTTGAATTCTCAGGGAATACCAAAGACGAAAACGAAATGTTTTTAGAAAATCTGTCAGTAAAGGTAGGTTAACGTTGAATATACATATTTTATTTAGACATTCCTACTTCTAACTCTTTTCATTTTTCTATTCTGTATTTTTTAATGAGTAAGCTTGTAAGCTAATTAATTATTAGGGTACCCTGATAGTACTCATCTTTTTATTACATGCAGTACTCTGCTCAATTCTGGGAAGCTACATTTTTAGGTGATATGCTGAAAACATATTGTACTACAAGGTTACAGCTTGGGTTTTTCTAATGATTGTTTATTGATTGATGTATATGCCTATGTATTTTTGTATATTTGGTTTGTTTGTTTGTTTTTTTTTGTATTAGTTTATGAATGGATCTGCCATCAGAATAAAGAAGAAGCAAAGTCATCAATTACTTTTAACCAATTCAGTGGAGGGTAAGTTCCTGAGACTGCTAATATTATTTTGCAAAAGTAACAACATTTTTCTTTAAAGGAGTTGAATAATACGGTAGAACCTCTCTATATAATTGTGGGTTTAAATTTCTCCAATATTTATTAACATTGTTGTTGTTCTTAAGTTATTTTTAAATTATGTTTCTGTTGCAGTGATGACTCGGTTTCAAATGATAGTTTTTCTGAGGAAAATCCAGATTATGTAGAAGTCAAAGTAAGTTTGTTGAATATATTAGGCCAAACAAATAAAGAAACATGTTTCTCATTTGTTTCGCATTCTTTCCTAAAAATCACTGACAACTCCTTGAATATTGTTGCTAAATATGATCCTACAAAATTAAAGAATTTCAAGTGTTTGGCCAAAATTAATTTGAAATTATCACATCAGATTATTGTATGAGATACACAAGACATTGAATTGCAGATATTAATATCATTATTTTCTCCTTTTTTTTATCATACATTTTTCTTTTATTGAGGACAAAAATCTTGTAAATAATCGACTGAGTAACCTGTACATGAAGATAGACACACCAAGTCCATCAAAATCCCACTTAAAGCAGATAGATGGAGATCAGGAGGATTTGGCAAATGTAGTGCTAGTAAGTATAAAGGTTTAATAACCTTCTCTTATGGAGGATAGCTCTAGGGAAGGCATTGATCTGACCTGCATTCTTTTGTTTATGATGGTGATTGTATTTGTAAGTGTTGTACAGTTCATTTCTATGATAAGTAGCTTAAAGCATTCCGTTCAGTGGGCCTGACTAACTTGCAACTGCACTTCCTAAGACCAACTCTTCATAACAACCACAATTCCTGACAAAAAAAAACATTTATCGGGATATAATATCCCCCAATAATAATAAATTATGAGAATGATATAACAAGCATTATGTGATATGGTTGCAATTTCATTAATTGAAAATGTTCCTTTATGCCAATTGTGTTGCTAGGAAACAAAAACATTACCATTAGGAGTTCAGAGAGACATTCCAACAGCATCACCAAGAAAACGAAAAAGAATACTGTCGAGCAAGTCACGGAGTCATCCAACATCAGAAGTCGATGAGAAGATAAACAAAAACTTATTGGAAGGATCAAAAAAGACAAAGAAAAAGAATAGTAAGTTATTAAAAATTGTCCTTAGAGTGACAGTGCTGTAGGCCTACAATTATACACATTTCTAATTCAAAATTCAATATTAACTTTGTTGCATTTTAGGTTTTGAACCACAGAAGTCAGTTACAACATTCAAGGACATAGGTGCAAATGAAAATAATCTACATGTGAGTATTAATATATAGAAACCTCATGAGTGTTTTGTGTCTGAGAGTTAAATCCCCCCCCCCCCAGCCAATGAAAACTCTCCACCAGAAAGACTCCACTAAAAACAAGTCTTTGGACTAACTAGTTCATCCTTGGTGTAATTCATTCAAATATTCCCATCTTATTCTACAAGCCAAAATGAACTATGAAGCATTTGCCTCTCTCTCATCTTTTCCAGGAAATATGCAAATTATTAGTTCATATGAAACACCCTGAAGTATATCAACAGCTTGGGGTGTCCCCGCCGAAGGGTGTCTTACTACACGGCCCCCCAGGATGTGGCAAAACATTATTAGGCAATGCAATTGCTGGGGTAAGTTCTTAATTTAAAAACCAAACTTGATTCAGTAAAGTTATACAAGCAAAACAAACTATAGTGTTTAAAATTTTTTTAATAGAATAAGTGAAAAGCATAGAAAAGAACTTATAATTTTTTTATTTTATTAATTCTTTTTTTAGGAGCTTGATTTACCACTCCTGAAGCTCTCGGCTCCTGAAATTGTATCTGGTGTTTCAGGCGAATCAGAGAATAACATCCGAGACCTTTTTGAACAAGCCCAGGTAAGCTATCAAAAGTTGCTACATAATCACAGCATATATGAACAACAATAACATAACAAAAAAAATAAGCTAGTTCGGTAATCGAGGGAACAGATATTGCCTGACATCTCTACTATAGTCTATTTTGTGAATATTTACTGTAAATATACCAACTATTTCAGATTCTTTCCTAAGTTATAACACCCGTAAAAAGAAAAATTGGGATGATCAATTTCCAGGTAGTCCCTCTAAAAAATACCAGTATCACCTAGAGCATATAAAAAAATAGAATGTAAGGCCTGAATTTTTATTTTTTGTATTATGAATATTATAGTATATTATTATAACTTGTGATGTACTGTCATTATCTAGGCATGTGCTCCTTGTATTGTATTTATTGATGAGATTGATGCCATTACCCCCAAGAGAGAAACAGCCCAGAAGGAAATGGAGAGGCGGATTGTGGCCCAGCTCCTAAGCTGCATGGATGGTTAGTTCATACAACTGTATTGTTTTTTTACTTATTTTTAAAAATTTGTTTGTGTTTACATGAGTTTAAATGTGTTTAGCCATATATTAGTAAACCTGATATGATATGGTTCTGAGTAACGCTTTTCTCAACCTACAATAAGATTTTCAGACGCATACAATTACACTGGCTATAATGAATGTATATTTATACCTCTCCTCTCAGATTTATGTAACAGTTCATCTTATGTTATGGTGATTGGTGCTACAAATCGGGTAGATTCCATTGACCCAGCCTTGCGCAGAGCTGGCAGGTTTGATCGTGAAATCTCTCTAGGCATCCCGGATGAACCAGCTCGTAAGAGGTCAGGTTGTTTTTTAGAATGCACATTTTAAGCACAATAGTTATGATTACACAAACATACAATAAACTTTTATATAACATTGACACATAAGTTACAACTGAAGATATGTTTACTACACATGCACTCACATATAAGGCTTGCCATCCCAAAAGAAGCATGCTGTCGCTAAATGTTAAACTGAGTAATTAACGTGAAAATGTGACAGTATTGTATACTTTTAGTACATCGAAACTGTAATACATTTACTTGTAACTTAAGTTTTTTAATACTGTTGTTCTTGTTTTGGTCACTGATGTTGGTTTTGGCATTTATAAACTAAAGCTCTGTTCACACTATACAGTTTTTTGTGACAAATAGATTTTCCCATATATGGAAATGCTATGACATCATTGTGGCCATATATGGACAAACAAACATATTCATCACTAAAACATGGTAGTGTGGTTAAGCTTAGAAAGTTTTTTGGTTTTTTTTAATTAATGTAAAAGAAAAAGTTTTATAGGATTTGAGCCCAGGACCCTGCTATTAGAAGGTGAGCACCTTAACCACCAAACCACAGTACTTCTCCAAATAGAATCAAGAAAGTTACTGGTTATTACTCATCATCAAAATTTTTTTATAATTATTAGGATTCTTGAGGTTATGTGTAGAAAGTTGCATCTATCAGACGATTTCGAATTTGATGGACTAGCCTCATTGACTCCAGGCTTTGTAGGGGCGGATCTGATGTCTTTGTGTCGAGAGGCTGCCATGTGTGCTGTAAACAGGTAATTTACAATAGAATCCTTCATCAAAATAATTATAATGTATCTTAGAGGATGGTTCATGCATTTGTATTTTCTGAGGTGTATACAGTGTATGGACATAGGTTGGCCAATGCCTTGTAGACATAAGCTGATTTGAAAAAAATGTTGAATTATTGTTTTAAATTGGATTTTTAAACATTTTTTTGTTTTCTGCCATCTTCCTTTTGTGAGTATCTACATTTTTGCTTTGAACTTTTCCAATTGTGAGAGGGGGATGACTGAAGGGGGTTGGGTGCTAGCTACGCCTCTGTGGTCAACTTGCATGACTCCACAATCATGTATTGTCAGACACCTCTTTGTTTAAAAATTCATATAATAGAGTATCATAACAAAGGGTGTGTAATTTCCACTGATCACTTTTTACTTACTCTTCAAAGGGTATTTAACGACTTGCAATCATCATATACTGTTGAAAAACACAGTACAGAGAGTAGCAGCAATGAGGTTAACAGTTCCACTGATGGACCAATCACAAATGAGGTTAAAGTTCAACATAAGAATATTGATTCTAATACACAGCCATCATATTTAACAAGTAAGTCTGGTTTTGTTTTTTTTGGGGGTGGGGATGAGAACCATCTTTGTGTCCTCTATTTAATCCTCTTTTCAACCAAAATTATCCTTCTAACTAAAATTCTCTTATGTTTCTTTTTGTTTCCATTTCTCAGTTCTCAGTTGGCTTCGTGATCAGCCTCCTCTGACTCAAGATCAACTCAAGTCCTTGTGTATTACAGTAGATGACTTTATGGTTTGTATTTACTGAAACTGTTTATTCATTTGTTTATTTATTTGTTCGTTTTATCTTTGCCCATCAGGACTAATCAAGAGATTTTGTTTAGAGATGATGTTTTTGTAGATGATAAAAACAAAGTAATAAAAATTAGGCTCCCAGATGGAGTGTGTGTCGATGCCCTATACTGCCTTATTGTATTATGTTTGCTAATAAAGTATCAACATGGGATTCGGTTATCAGGAAATGTGTGCTGCTTTATTTTTTTATTTTTTTTTATGACTTTTGTACAGTATTAAAGTACTTAAGATGAAACATGACCCATGCACCTCCACCAGATTTACCTTTTTACACCATCTGTAACTTCCAGATCATACCATAACTAATAATGAAAAAAAAAACTTTGTGAAGACAATAAAAATTTTAGCTTTTGGTCTTACATATGGAATGTTAGTATTTATTAGATTTATTAATTTTTAGTTTGATAGACCTCCTATTTACAAGCAGCTCCCTGGAGTTTCTTTCTTATTTGGATTTACAGTATTTTAATATTCATGTTTCTATTATTATCTTATTGCTCTGTTTTTTGTTAGTTTTTATATGGAATTGATAAATATTTTTGTCATGTTTTGTATACAAATGGAGAAAATACAAAATCAAAGTTTAATATTGTTTTTTTTTTCTTGGGCTTTTGTTTACCTAATACTATAGAAAGCACTTCCATTAGTACAACCATCTGCTAAAAGAGAAGGTTTTGCTACAGTTCCTGATGTTACATGGAACGACATCGGTGCCCTGGATCCTATTAGAGAGGAGCTTCAACTGGCCATACTTGTAAGGAAAAAAATTTGCACATAAACTAAAAATTCTTTGCTAAATGTAAAAACTATATACTCAGGAATGAGTGAGTGGTGTGATATGTTTGGAATAGAGTAACATCTCCCAATTACAAACTATCGATTTTACGGACCCAATTTGCAACGATGACGTCATTACGTACAATCATTTGTAACTACAAAAACACTTAAAATTGTATTTAAAAGTCTTAAAAAATAATATAAAATGTTATATCAGCTAAGAAAGAAAACTTTCAAACGAATAAGTTAACATAAAACTAAGTTTAAAGCAAGAAATATCGACCATTTTTAGCCGAGATGTATTATGTTTGAGCTGTGCATGCTTCTTTTGACGGGCATACTGTGCAGTAAATCTCACTTTTTGTTTATTGGGGGCGTTATTCGCATGGATTGGCTTTGGCCATTATTTGGTCATGTTTTCAATCGTAAATAACTTCAAATGAATACTTCACAGTGAGCACTGGTAATTTTGGCCTCTGTAAACTATTATGTATTTGTAGAAAACAGAAAACTCCAAGTCATTTTTCATGACAAAATTTTGCTCAAATGGCAAGACTTATGCCTACCTATCCCTGCACTTTGCAGCATAGGCCTACCCTCATCACATTGAGATGCTATGAAAATTCAAACTCTCTGAAGACGGAGGGTTATGTAATTGGGAGATGTTACTGTATTGGCCTACTTTAGAAACAGCCACTGACTCACAGACTATGACAACACAAATTTTAATCGCATGAACGTTGAAGTGATGATGACATTTTCCCTAATGTATCTGTGCTGCACTATTCACAGTGGCAGTGTCCACTCCCTTCCCCCCCCCCAAAAAAAAAACTCCTAAATTTGTTAAAAATGTTTTTGAAAATGGAAATTCAAATTTAAGCCTTGAGAGTGCCAAAAGTCTATTTCAAATTTCTGGATGCGCCATTGACAGTAGCAGATTCAAGGGGCAAGCCAGTTGGTACACGGTCACTGCAAGATATGTTAAGAATGGATCACATATATGCTATTGTAGGGGCATTGACAAAAAAAAAGTGAAAATATTTTTATGAAACATTACAATTAACAGCAAGAACAGTAAAACAGTGTACTACTGTTCAAAAGAAGAAGTTAAATTCTGATTTTGTTAAATTATTTCCTCCATAGAGGATGGGCCGTTCCTGGAGGTACTGCAATACCAGGCCAACCCGTGGCCAGGACGGAGCAAGCTCCTATTCCATGGCCTAATTTCAAAAATCAGTTTAATATAGAAGC